AATGTGCTACGTCCTGGTTAAGGCGTGGCCCTGCCCATGACTGACTCATCACATCGTCTCTAATCAGTCCTGGAAGGCGGTCCCACAAGGTGTGAGAACTGCGCGAAGTCTTTCAGAGACGCTCAGTCTTTCCCCTCCCACAGCACGAGACTCCTGGGAGAACTCTAATTTCTTGGGGTTCATTGTTTCACAAGGAGCAGTACGAATAGCTCTCTTTAGAGCAATGGTTCTCAACCTGTGGGTTGAGACCCCCGCCCCCAGGGTCGCATCTTGAATATCCTGCATATCAGATATTTACTTTACGATTCAGTACAGCAGCAAAATTACAGCTATGAAGTAGCAATGAAGTAATTTTAAGGTTGGGGGTCACCACAACATGAGGGCCTGTATTAAGGGTTCACAGTATTTGTAAGGTTGAGAAGCACTGCTCTCGGGGAACCCTGCTGAGATGGTTAGTCTGCTAAGACTTACCATGGTAAGACTGCTAAGTCTTTTCTTAGAATATCAGTGAAGACCCATTAAGGGGAAATTCCTTCTGGTCAAGAGACTAGAATCTCTGGTCTTCATAAAGGCTTGATAGTCCCGTTGGGTAGCTCAACCACCTAACCCTGGGACTACCCCCTGAGAAGCAGAGACTGCCCCTAGAAAATGGGTTCTCAAGCCACGGGAAAGGGACAGCAGAATAACTATCCTTTTAACGAGATAACTTTTCCTTCCCAGATTCTGTCCTCAGCACAGTGTTTACAGAATGTGGCCATGCAGCTCTGTGAGTTTGTCTGCTTCTCTGAGTTATGAGAAAAGTGGTCTCTTTTCTTTTTTCTCTCTCAGTTCTAAACTTGCTTCTCCTAACATTTTGGGGTTCCGGACTCTTCCCTAAAGAGTACTTTCCCACTATATGACTCCTGCTATTGTGTCTGAGCTCTGTCTTCGTTGCAAAAAAAGGGGGGGGGGAGATAGGAAGGAAGAAGGAAGGGAGGAAGGAAGGAAGGAAGGAAGGAAGGAAGGAAGGAAGGAGAAAAAGAGAATTACTGCTGAACTTGACCTGACAATGAAATGGCCCATGTCATCTTGGTGGAGGAGATATTTGAATGGTACAAATGTGTTCTTTTAAGCTTTGTTTGTTGTGGGGTAGGTACATGCCACAGCGCTTGTGGAAGTCAGAGGACAGCTTGCTGGAGTCAATTCTCTCCTTCCTCCATGAGAGTCCTGGGGACTGAACTCAGGCAGAAGGCTTGGCAGCAAGTGCTTTAACCCTCTGAGCCATCTTGCGAGGTCTAGTAGATGTGTTTTGTTCATTCAGAATGCAAAAGTCTAGACATGAGTCACGGAGGCCCTCAGCCGGGCCAGCAGTGCTCCCCCATCCTGGAAAGAAGTGCCAGAGCGACAAACACTGGTGCATTTAAAAGCTGACATGATTTTCACATAACTAAAAATTAATTCTTGTAAAACATAAAATTAGCTGGGCATTGGTGGCACACACCCTTAAACCCAGCACTCGGGAGGCAGATGCAGGCTGATTTTAGTGAGCTTGAGGCCAGCCTGGTCTACAAAGTGAGTTCTAGGGCAGCCGGGACTGTTACACAGAGAAACCGTGTCTCGAAAAATAAACAAATAAAACATAAAACTATTGGTTAATTAAAACTAACCATCTCAAAGCAAGCAATTCAGTGGCATCCAGTATAGTCTCTATGTTGTCATTACCATAACTACCCAACAGATTTTAAACTTCATTATCATTAAACAATGATGCGTCCCTCTTGCTCCCTTCCCTCTCTTTCCCATCGTTCCCCCCCCCCCCAAAGGGTCTCACTATGTAGTTCAAGCTAACGTTGAACTCTCTGGTCATCCAGCCTCTGCCTCCTGAATGTTAAGATTACAAGTATGTTCTACACTGGACTGAGTTCCCAAAATCCAGTTGAAGAGTGAGAATATGAACAAAGAGGTCAAGACCACAATGGGGACATCCACTGAAACAGTGGGCCTGAGCTATTGGGAGCTCACCAACTCCAGCTGGACAGGGAAGGAACCAGCATAGGACCAAGCTAGACCCTCTGAATGTGGGTGACAGTTTATGGCTGGCAGACTATGGGGCCACTGGCAATGGTACCAGGATTTATCCCTACTGTTAGTACTGACTTTTTTGGGAACCCATTCTCTTTGCATAGATAACTTGCTCAGCCTAGATATAGTGGGGGAGGGCCTTGGACCTTCCTCAAAGCAATGTGCCTTACCTCTCTGAGGTGTGGATGGGGAGGGTTTTAGGTGGAGGGGATGGGAAGAGGGGAGAGAGTGGAAACTGGGATTGGTATGTAAAATGAAAAAAAAAAAGATTGTTTTCTTAACAAAAAAAAAAATAAACAAGTGTGCTTTACCCCTCACTCCCGGCTACTGGGAATTGGGACTCTGTGCTCCGTCTTTACAGATCTCCCCACCGTGGACATTTCCTGTGAACAGAAACATCCAATGTGTAATCTTTTTTCTTTTCCCCTTAGCACCATGTTTTCAAGTTTCAGTTGTGCACAAGCATGCATCAGTTCCTCATTCTACAGGACTCAGGACATGTTACCCCTTGCAAAGACTGGAGAAGATAATAAAATCCTCAGCACTAAGTGCTCATCCTCCACACAGATGAATGAGCAACAAAAACAGCTTAAGGCAGGAGCTTATTTTCCTCCTAGTGAAGGTACAGTCGGTTCATCATGGAGAAGAGGGTTCAGGGTATGGTCCATTGTGGAGAAGAGAGTTCAGGGTACAGTCCATCATGGAGAAGAGGGTTCAGGGTATGGTCCATTGTGGAGAAGAGAGTTCAGGGTACAGTCCATCGTGGAGAAGAGGGTTCAGGGTATGGTCTATTGTGGAGAAGAGGGTTCAGAGTGTGGTCAATGATGGAGAAGAGGGTTCAGAGTGTGGTCAATGATGGAGAAGAGGGTTCAAGGTACGGTCCATCATGGAGAAGAGGGTTCAGGGTACAGTCCATCGTGGAGAAGAGGGTTCAGGGTACAGTCCATAGTGGAGAAGAGGGTTCAGGGTATGGTTCATCCTGGAGAAGAGACTATGTTGGCAGGAGTCTTGAGCAGCTCACGTTACAACCACAGTCAGGAAACAGATTAATATTAATGGTCAGTTTGCTTTTTATATATATAAATATACATATTTATATATAGTCCAGGCCCCTACCCAGGGAATGGTTCCACCCTCATCTAGGGTGGGTCTTCTGAGTTCAATTAACTTAATCTAGAAACTTCTCCAGATGTGGCCAGAGGTTTGTGTCCTAGGTAATTCTAGATCCTGCCAAGTTGACACTGTTTATGATGTCATGTATGTGTAGCATGTGTGCCTGCAGAGGTCAGAAGAAGGCAGAAGATTCCCAAGGATTGAATTTATGGATGGTTGTGAGTCACTATGTAGGTGCTGGGAACTGATCCTGTGTCTTCTGCAAGAGCACAAAATGCTCTTTATCACTGAGTCATCTCTCCAGCCTAGGGTTTTTAGTCTAAGAACAAGAAAACCACAATAAACCATAAATAGGAAAGGCACATAATTTACATAATAAAATGAAAATACAGACCCATTATTAAAAATGATTACGTGTAGCTGGAAACAGTAGAACATTAAACAAAGTAGAGGGCTTATCTAAGTACAAGGATCTATAAGCACGCATGTGAGAAAAGAAATGCAATAACTTCAGAGGCTACGTGACCACAGGTACACAAAATAGAGGGATTTGATAACAACAGGTGTCATAGGGACAGATGGTTAGCCTCAATTGTCAACTTGGTCTGGAATCGACTAAGAGATGCACCTGAATGAGTCTTTAAGGATCTGTTCAGGGAGGGTGAACTGAGGGCAGAAGATCTACCCCCTACTTGGCAGCATCATCTGGTGGTAGGAGCGGCGAAACTGCGTCCCCGGCACCTGGCTGCCCGCATGGCTCTAGCTTATGCCCCAAAATAATTACACGGAAACTGTATTCTTTTAAACTGGCCCGGCTAGTTCCAGCCTCTTAACCCATTTCAAATAATCTAGCACCACAAGGTGCACTTACCAGGAAAGATCTTAACCTGCGTCTGTCTGGAATGGGAGAACCATGGCGACTCCTCGACTAAGCTTCTTTCTCCCAGCCTTCTGTTCTGTTTACTCCACCCACCTAAGGGTTGGCCTATCAAGGGGCCTAGGCAGTTTCTTTATTAATAAGAAATCACTCCCACATCATGCCTTTGCTTCTTTCTGGTGAGTACATCCATCCCATTGTCACTGACAACATCCTTCCCTGTCCGTACTCAGCTTCTTAGCCTTCCAATGTAGATGGAAGGCCAGTGGCTTTCCTGTGTCATAGTGGAGCTGCTAAGGCAACCAGGTCTGTGGACTGAGCAAATATGGATTCCTAGATTTTCTTGTTGAAATAGGAGCAGCGGGGCTGCGTCCCCAGCACCCCAGCTGCCTGCTAGCTTATGCCCGAAATAACAACACGCAAACTGTATTCATTTAAACACTGCTTGGCCCATTTCTATCTAGCCTCTTCTAGGCTAATTCTCGCACCTGGACTAGCCCATTTCTAATAATGAGTGTAAGCACCCCAAGGTGCACTTACCGGGAAGATTCTAACCTACGTCCATCCTGGATCGGAGCTTCATCGCATATGCCCAGGAGAGCGAAGCAGGGCCTCTGCTCCAGAGAGCAGAGCTGTCGAGTCTGAGCTCACTTCCTCTTCCTCCCAGCATCCTATTCTATTTACTCCTCCCACCTATGTTTTAACCTATCAGGGCCAAGGAGTTTTTTTTATTGCTTAACCAATGAAATCAACAGATTGATATGACATTTTCTAGCTTGCAAATAACCATTGTTGGACTACCCAGACCCTATTAGACAAACCAGTCTTCTAAATCCCCATTCCAATCCACAGTGTATTTTACCATCCATCCAATCTGCCAGTCTGGTTACTCTAGAGAACCCTGACTAATACAGAAAGCTAGTCTTGAAAGTTGGGAACGACTTCTCACCTGTTCAAGCTGACCCCTGAGTCGGAAAAAGGAGTCAGCTATATCATGACCCGGGGGCAGTGTATCCAAGCAGGAAGAGGATGCAAAGCAAAGTGGCTCCATGTGTCCCTGGTGGAGTTAAGGAATAATCGAGGGCTGGGCTGGGCTTGGTTATCTCTAGTTTATGTCTAGATGGGACTTCTAACACCAGGCTTCTTGAAGAAGAAACCCAAGGTTTGACATCTCTAAGCAAAATTAGAGCCTGTTCTTGGGCATAAAGCCAGCAAAAGCCCGTCTTGGTAGCATCAAGCTGTAGCCCACGGTTCTTAAGGAGGAAGGCACAGCACACTGGTGTTTCCCAAACACATCCTAGATTCTGCTTAATTTATTCTGCTGTAAGAGAACACAGACTGTCAGCACTTTGGATGGTGGGATGGGTGGATGGGGGGTTTAGAATGTGATCTGAGTCAGGAAGTATAGTGGGAGGCCACTTGTTCTTCCCGGCTGCCCGGCTAGCTTAGACCTGAAATAATCACACAGAAACTGTATTAATTAAATCACTGCTTGGCCCATTAGCTCTAGCTTCTTATTGGCTAACTCTTACATATTAATTTAACCCATTTCTATGAATCTGTGTATCACCAAGGTCATGGCCTACCAGCAAAGTGTCAACATGGTAGCAACTCCTTGGCATCTCTCTGACTCCACCTCTCTTCCAGCATTCAGCCTAACTTTCCCTGACTACCTAAGTTCTGCCTTGCTATAGGTCCAAAGCAGTTTCCTTATTCATTAATAGTATCACAGCACACAGAGGGACTGCCATATCAAGGAAGTATTAAGAAACACTCCATCGTGACACTCTCATCCAAAGTCTGCCAAGTTGGATCTTCAGAGGATGCGTGTTTCAGAGAATGCCGCCCTGGGTCCAAAGGGAACTGAAGAGAGGCTAAGAGTGCAAAAGGATCAATGTGCTACTCAGACAGCCCAGGTGTCTCTGAGCTGGAGTAGACATACATTGCAATTGCTGCTGACTGGCGGGGCGTCTTTTAGGCCCTTTGAAAACTCTAGTAATCATAAGGTTCTGGGAATTGAAAAAAACGAGAGACTGTCTCTAGCCAACATTTACAAGGACCATATAGGTGGAAGGATCAAGTGCCCGTCTGCTCTGACAGTTCTCTTTGCAACTGCAGAAACCCAGGTGAGAGGAGCAGGGCCTCCATCATAGTCTACGCTTCCAGAGCCCTGGGAAGATGGTGGCTGAGTCAGAGAAATGAGGGCCGCCAGAAGAAATCCCACAGGAGTTACTGTAAAATCAGTGCCAGTGCTTGAGAAAATTGAATCCACAAGACCAGAGACTATAAGCAAAAGAAGAAAAATCCACACTTTCCATCACTTCCCTAAGCAGAGCAAGAAATGGTGCAGAGAGGAGCAGCGAGCCCAGCTGACAGGAGGGCCATGGCAACACCAGAATGCATGAAGTCTCCCAGTGCTTCCGGGTTAGGCAGTCTTTATTTGGAAGAAAAAATACCCTGCAAAAACAAACTTAAAAGAGGTTAAATTTATTTGGATTCAAGAGGTCTCACCCCATAGTCATTACCTTAAAGCCCAAGGCAAGCCAGAGGCAGGCTAGCAAGGGCATGGCGGGGCAGAGCTGCTCACTGAATAATGGTCCAGGAATATTGTCTGGGTCCAATCATTTCGCCTCTAAGGGTGAATATGAATGTTCCCCAACAACCCTTCTTAATCATGGCCGTAGTTCTGAAAGCCAGCAAGGCAACAGAACCCCAGGGTTAGCCCATTATTACTAGCTACAGTATCCAGGCCAATGGAATAAATGCTTTCATCCAGTTCAGAACATGGAGGGGGCACCTAGAGGAAAAGGGCTGGGAAAGGCAGTAAGGCACCCCACAGTGGACAGCCAGCCCTTACCCAAGAGTCAGCTATGACCTTTTAAACCATAGCAAATTTTTCTTTCTTTTACAGTTATTACTTGAAAATTTCATATATAAGCATAATGTATTTTGATCAAATTCTTCCCCACTTCCTCCCCTCCAGTTCCTCCTTATACCCCTCATCACTTTTCCTTCCCAACTGCAATGATTTTTATATACTTTATTGAGCTCAATTTACTGAAGCTTCTGGTACCAGACTTGCCCTCCAATGCTTTCTCATTAAATGATTTAAAGTGGACTCCCTCCAATCACAGGGTCTCCAAATAGAGTCCTATATTATTGTTTTTTGTCACTACCCCCTGCTGTGGTAAGGAGTAGGTAAAGACAGGGGTTGAGGATAAGACATTGCTTCCAGAGGCATATCTCCAGTGATCCAGTACCTCCAACAACATCCCATACTACCTCCCAATAATGCTAGCAAATTATAAATCCAAGAATCCATTAATGGATTGACCTATAGGAAGAAGAGCCCTCATGATCCAATCACTCTCCAAAAGTCTCCTTTCTGGGGCTGGAGATATGGCACAGTAAATTACTTTTAGTGTAAGTGTGAGGGCGTGAATTCAAATTCCCTAGAACCCCATTTAAAAAAAAAAACCTGGGGCACAGGAACATATGCTTATAATCCCAGAAGGAGACGGGAGGATCACTGGAACTTGGTGGCAGTGATTCTAGGTAAATAGGTGAGGTCCAGGTTCGGTGAGAGACTCTGGCTCAAAAAGATGGAGAGCTATTGAGAAAGACCTCAGGCCTTCGCACACTTGTGCACCCACACACTTCCTGTGTGTGCCTTCCACTTATGTCCTGGCTTTCCGCACTGCTGCATTAGGAACCAACCCTTCAACATGTAAGTCTTTTTGTTTTGTTGTTGTTGTTTGAGACAGAGTTTTATTATATAGCCCCAGCTGTCTTGGACCTTGCTGGGTGGACCAGCCTAGCACTCACAGAGCTTCATCTGTCCTCACCTCTCCAATATCAGGAGTAGAGGTTGTGTACTACTGTGCCTCGTGTTGAGTACCACTGTGCTTTGTGTTGTGTGTTTTGAGGGGACAGTTCACACTCAAACCAAGACAGCTCGCATAAGGCTTTCCCGGTTCTTGGTAGGTAAATACTTGGTTGTTTTAGATCATTCTAAATTACTACGCCACCCACGTGGTCTTTCAGGGTCATATCTGTTTCTCAGTGGCCTTCATACTCATTGCACTTGTGAACTATCAGTCAGTGTGAGCAGTATCTGTGAGTGGATTCAGTCAAGTGAAGGGTAGTTGTCCATGGACCCATGTGCCTTGGCTATGATGGCAGCCATGGCTGAACCAGCATTCACTCAGACTGCACAATACATCGCCTTCCTCTTCTTAAAATACCCACCAGGACTTGGAAATGTGTTTAGTTCTTTCAGAATGAAGTGCTGAGGGAAAACACTGTCTCTCCGGCTTGGGCTAGCGATAGGCCTCTGGGTGGAAGGAGGCATTAGCCCATGTTCTCACTGCTGTTTGCGCTTTCATTCTCTGCCGTGGAAGCCAAAGCTCACTGAAAGCCCATTAAATTCCACAGCATTCCCCACATCTACTTTTCTTGGCTTGAAAGTTTGGTCATTTGTTTGTGAAAGATCTCTAAAACTGATGATTTTGTCATTGTTTTGAAAAAAAAAAGTGGTCATACTTGTAGCAGAATTGTACAAAGATTTCTCTGAGTTGGCTTTGAAAATATTAGCTTCCTATTACTGCCCACAACAAAAAGACAGCTTCCAACTTAAAAAGCTCGTGATGACAATTCTAACTCTGTCTTCAAAAATCTAAACTGTAGCCAGGTGGAGGGGGCGCACGCCTTTAAGCCCATCCCTTGGGAGGCAGAGGCAGGTGGATCTCTGTGAGTTCGAGGCAGCCTGGTCTACAAGAGTTAGTTCCAGGATAGACTCCAAAGCTACAGAGAAACCCTGTCTTAAAAAAAAAAACTCTAAATTGTGTGTATTTATAAATAAAGAATAAAATTTGTAATGGTATATATCAAAATGTTACATCATATGGGTTTAATATATTTCTGTCTTTTTTTTTTTGAAACAATGTAGCATTAGCCCAGGCTAGTCTCAAACTCAATATGTAGCTAACAATGATGATCTTGAGCTTTTGATCCTCCTGCCTCCTCCATCAAGTTCTGGGACAGCAACTGTGTGCCACCACGCCTAGTTTATATGCCCATTGGGATCAGACCCCGGGAAGTGTTCTACCAAGAACTCCATTCCCAGTCCATGCTATTCCTTTTTAGGGTCCTATTTTTCTGTACTGATACACATTATTTGTAAGATAAAGAGGGAAAAAGAGAAAACTAACCCAGGTTAACACCGTGGGTTAAGATCTTAGCTGTTGGGAGACAGATGGCATGCACACTCTGGAGCTTTGAAGTGAGCGTAATGGTTTTGTGGAAGAGTCCGTCAGAGCTGATGGGCCAACAGGATGTGATATATCACTCAAGGAATGGCAAAGGGGAAGCTGCTCTCACTAAACATAAAGGTAAAAGATAAAGGATAGAGCCTGAGGCCAGCAAGACTATGGCAAAACCAGAACTGAGGCCAGAAGTTACAGAGATCAGTTCTCATGGCCTTGCTTTCGTTACCTGATCTGAACCCCATAGAATCCAGGCTAGGCATCACCGAGGGCCACCTCAGGCTGTAGAGCAGGCCAGGGAGCAAAGAGGATGATGGGCAGACAGATGGAGCATCTCGCCAGCCACGCTATAAAGATGTTTATCTGATGCAGACTGTAACTCTTCTATGACTTCACAATTTAAAAAATAAAAGAATTTTATTGTCCTTTATTTTCTTTTCTTAGTTCTTCATAGAACTGAAATAAATTCTGTGTCCAACAGAGATGATTAACAGGAGAGCACTGGAGGTCGACCATAGTTTAAGTAGTGTTAAACAGGAGGGCCATCTCTTTTCTTGGTCTAGCCTTCTCCCTTTCTGAAGAACTTTACATCCTCAGATCTGTATGACAGAATCAGCAATGATTGTTTCCTCTCCCATGGGGTGAGCACATGATTGAGCCTGGCTAGTCAGCATGCCCTGTGGCCCCGGATATAAGAATAGGCAGGTGTGTGACCTATTGAGCCACTTGGAGCTGTTTCCTAGAGACTTCTGGACTCAAGATCTTAAGTCTAAGTAGTGGCCCTCTT